TTCTGATCTAGTTAGCCCTGCACTAGCTAAGTAGCTACGGCTATCTACGGGCTTTTCAACAGCGTGGAGCCGGGCCTCCAATTCCGACACCCTCAGTTCCAAAGCTACAAAAATGCTACATTTATTACACGTAGCATTATCACTAAAGGAGGCAGAGGAGTAACTAAACATGTGACACAGAGAGCAAGAGATAGGAGACGGAGAAGCAGAGACAGAAGTAGCCATAGCCGTGCTGAGGCTAAGCTAACTGGATGAGCAACTCGTTCAATACCAAATAATCTGCGTGCAAACTAAAATGGTTCCCTAAAAGCTAGGTGGAACAACAGAAAACTTGAGTTTTAGCGTGCTTATGTGCTACAATAACTCCGAGATATCCTAGTACAGAGAAATTTAATCTATTTTAGTGATCCACTAACACTGAACAGCTACACGTAGTGCAACTCTGAAAACAGGAAATGATGCAAAAATGCCTTACAGCAGACGATAATAATAATAATAATAATAATAATAATAATAATAATAATAATAAAATTATTATATTTTTGTATATTTGTATGCTTTCACTGAAGTGCCAGAATCAATCCATGCTTCTAAGGCAGTTTCAGGGTTATTTTATGGAAAGCGTCCTTCTGATGATGTGGGCACTTCCGAGAAGAACAATCTTCTGGATTTCGTGGACTTTTGGGTTTCCAGGAATCTGTTTTGTTCTCTTTTCCAGTCCCTTCTTAATGAGGCCAAGTGCACCCACTACGACGGGCAGGGGCGGCGTTAGGCCCGGCTACTTGGGCTGAAGCCCCGGATCTTTCATGATAAGCCCCGGATCTAAATCGCGGAAGTAACATGCAGTACCAAAGTCCAACAGAGAGGGCGCAGCTGGAAGTAGTTTGTATACAGCCTGCCTGAGCCTCCACCACTGAAGAAGAAGCCCTTCAGCAGCCGGCTTCTTCTACAGGCTCTGCCTGAAACGCATGAGTGAAGATGGACATAAGGACGTTTTTAGACCAAAAGTACAACGACAGAACCCCAGCTTTGATGAGACTGGTGTTGACTCAGGTTTGTGAGTCTTATTTGAAAATATTTGTTGTGCTGCTGGTTTGCCTAAAGTTAGCTTATAATCAGGTAACGTTGTTGGAGAAAGAAAGGGAATATTTACTATCATCTCACACTAAACACTAACAGGAACAATACTCTGTCCTGAATATGCTTAATATGAAGCTTCAGATTAAAACTTATGTGGTACAAGACAAATATATATGGTGCTGACTAGTGCCTGTCACGTGTGTGCACGTGCGCGTGTGTTAAGCCCCGGATCTTCTTCAGTCCTAAATCCGCCCCTGACGACGGGTATTGTTGTTGTCTTCATCCCCCACATTCTTGTGACTTCTATTTCCAGGTCCTTGTACTTTGATAGCTTTTGGTGGTGACATTTTTTTCAGATGGGATGGTCATGTCAATCATGAGGCAGGCCTTCTCTTCTTTGTTTTTGATGATTATGTCTGGTCTGTTGGCCATGATTTCTCTGTCTGTGTCGATTGGCATGTCCCACAACACTGTGATGTTGTTGTTTTCAGTTACTGTTGGTGGCTGGTGGTCATACCACTAATCTGCAGCTGGTAGATGGAAATGTTTGCAGATCTTCCAGTGGATATAGCTTGCTGCCCTGTCACGTCTGTGGATGTACTCAGTTCTGGCTAGAGTGGGGCAGCCTGAGCGAATGTGGTCAATGGTTTCTACATATTGGCTGCACATTCGACACATGGAGTCTGTTCCATCTTTCATTGTGGTGGTATGATCTCGTTGACAGGCTCTGGTCTTGTGCTGCTATCAACAATACTTCCGTTTCTGCCCTCAGTCCTGCACTGCGTAGCCACTTATTATTATTTATATTAATAATAATAATAATAATAATAATAATAATATAAATGTGAAATAATAAAACTATGTAAATAACGTGCACACTAAAGTCACAAAAATATAGTAATTTTTAGAACCGAATAAAAATATCTAGTTTCTTTCTTAATGCGTCTCTGCCATCCTGGTTCCACTGTGAAATGCCGTGCTCTGTTTTTCCTTGAACTGTTCAGCTCAAACACAACCTGCTATCCAGCAAGTGTGTTAATGATCTGAGCAGTTTGATCCTGATATTCTACTTCTATGACTCCCCTTTACAAAAACAGAAACATGTCTGCCAGCAGCATCTGAAAGGAAGCCCAAGCTGTGATTTGCCCATTTTAGCTGGCCACATGGAGCTTTGGGTGTGTCTGAGAAAATTAGAGTAAGATCGTCCATTTAGCTCGTTCATTTGAGTTATTAGTGGGGTTAACACATTAATTAGACCTCGTTGAGTCATACCCATACTGGATAAGAGAAAGTTCTACCTAAAAGATTATTTGAAAAATAGAACAAAGTTTGTATTAGTGCCATATTCATGCATCAACTGTGTAAGGAACTGAACTCTTAATGCGTTTGACCACCACCAGAAAGCAAGAAAGGTGAAGTGTCTTACCTAAGGACATAACAGATGGCACCTGGGTTTGAAATGGCAACGCACCGGTTATCGGGCAAACTCCTGACCCTTGAACAACTATTGCCACCCCTCAATGCTGATATAGCGGGCGTCCATATTTCAAATTTTAAACAACTACAAGGATTATTGTGTGATTTGGGTTTCGTTGGCTTTTGAATAGCTATTCTACAGTGCAATTGCTGCTGGGTGTTAGTGCTAGCCAGACAAACCGCATTTGCCAATTAAAAACACAGATAGACTAACTTGGACATTGATTAAAAACAAATCAACAGAAACAAAATTCTGACTTTTATGATCAAACAGTTACTCATGACTCACAGTGCTCAAGTAACATTTTCTCAAAGTTCTTATTTGTGTCACTACTTTCTACATAGCACCCACCTCTGGTCAAAAGTCTTTTTTGTCTACATTTGGAGATTGTTTGGGCTAGACATTCAGCTGGACCCCTTCGTTTACACCGCTGCCTCCTGGATAACTTCTTCACTGGTCACATTAAGGCCATAACTAGATCAGCGTTTTATCATCTTCATCAAATAGCACCACTCAGGGGTCTCATGTCCAGACAGGACCTAATAAAACTCATTCATACGTTCATCTCCAGCAGGCTGGACTATTGCAATGGTCTATTGATTGGTCTTCCCAAAAAAAAGCAGTAAAGCAACTTATTCAGACTGCAGCAGCTAGTCTTTACAAGAACCAAGAGAACCGAGCACATCACTCCTGTTCTTAAATCTCTGCACTGCTACCAGTAAACTACAGAATCGATTTCAAAGTACTTCTACTAGTTTATAAATTACTCAATGGCATGGGGCCAAAATACATGTCAGATCTCCTTCCTGTATATACGCCCAGCAGGGCTCTGAGATCCTTAGGAAGCAGTCAGCTGGTATAACACAGATGAAATCAGCGTCCATATGACTTTAAAAGTGCCCCAACTCCAGCAACTTTTAAATCAAAATTCAAAACCATGTATTCATCAACCTTTGAACGAATGTTTCTAATACTGGACGTTCTGCACTGTAACTGCTCACCCTTTCACTTTTTTTTTCTTTTTTAAATCTAAAATGAATTTGTGTGTATTTTAATTGTGCTGTCATGTTTATTTTAATGTTCTTGCTGTTCTTGCTAATGGAAAGCACATTGAATTGCCTATGTGTCTGAAATGTGCTATATAAATGAAGCGGCCTTTCCTTGCCTTGATCATCTCCGCACTGTAAAAATCTGCTCTTCCACATAAAAACTGCCACAGCTTTGCTTCGTCTGTCTTTAGCTTGGCCCATTTCCCTTTCCAGCTGTTTCATGTGGTCGCAGCCCTTACCCAGCTTTGGAAAACTGATAAAAATTGTCCCCTCCGACATCCAATCTGGGCATCTAGAGTCCAGTTAGCACCTTCCCCAAAAGCGGTGCTTAGTTCCTTTGTGTTTGAACATCTTTAGGTGACAAAAATACAACTTTGTGACGATCGTAGCAACTGACCCCGGCTTTCCACAGGAGCCGTCAGCAGCGCGAGTCGGCCGCGTCTCAGGAGCAGCATGTCGCGGCCTTTACGCGCCGGTTCTATTTTCTATGCGCGACGCCTCTGAAACGGGTCAAGTTCGACATTTTTGGGGAAGGAAAGACAGGAAATCGGACGGGGAAATGGAGAGAAGCTCCAGAGATTTTCAGAATAAAGAACGTACTGCCTTCCGGTTGCTTTACTTTAAAAAAAAGTTACTAACTGTGCGTCCCCGTGAGAAGTTATCACCTAGCTAGGGGTCTCCTTTGTTTTTCAGGTCCGTATTGGCGATTATAAAACGGACAGAACATAAAAACACAAATATTTTGGAGCCATGTTGTAGTTTTCTCCTGCTTGTTGTTGTGTTTACTGACGAAGTCACTCGTGTGACTTTGTGCTCGGTCGGTGACAGCTGCTCCCCTGCTGCTTCGCGTCCCGTGGGAAGGGCCAAGCAGCAGTTTACGCGAGCAAGACGTGCTGCTGCAGTAACGTGCTGCTGACGACTCCCGTGGAAAGCCGGGGTCAGACCCGTATGGCACTCATGCAAAGTATACACTTGTTTGCCTATGGCTACATCCCACAATGCATTGCAATGTTACATCACAATAGATTTTTAGGCACTATAGAACAAAAGCAAACAATATTTTTGAGGAAATAAACCTTTTTCCTAATTTGCTTAATCCCATCTTGAATGTGGATCTCTTAAAATAAACATGTTTCTGTTGACATAAAAATAATCTCTGTGGTTTAATGCAGACTTTTCACACATCACTTCTAATTCTGTTCTTATACTAAAATAAACTCTGTGCTCATGTAAACTGTGTGGGCTTTTGGCTTATAATTTGTGTTTTACCCACTAAACACCGTGCCCATCTGTGCAGTTTCTTTATCCTCTCTCAGACTGGCTTCAGGTGAACGACCAAACAGCAACCAGAGTCACCGTGCAGAACATGATGCACCCTGTTCTTGTCTCCTCAGGTACATGGCCATCATCCACCCTCTGCAGCAGCGCATGTCCTCCACAGAGACCAGGGTGGTGGTGGGTGTGATCTGGGCTCTGGCTCTGCTTCTTGCATTTCCTCAGTACTACTACTCTACCACAGTCCAACTCCCTGGCCGTGTGGTCTGCTACATTGAGTGGCCTGAATACACCGTGTGTGACTTCAAAAAGATGTGAGTAGCTCTGTGGAGCTGCTATTCAAACTGTCAGACGTTAATTACTTTTCCATTGGCAGCTAATGCAGGAGGAAGCTGTTTGTGTTCTGGGGAAGCTAATGTAATGCACAAAGGAATGAAAATGGGTGTTGTGCTTTGTGGCGATAACCTGAAGCATCACACAGCTGTTGAGTTATTTCTGCAGTAAAAAAGAAATGAAGTGAGCTGGACTGAAGGAAACGGAGATTAGCACAGATTAAGCTGCATGAATCACTTCATATTTGTACTGAAGAGTAAGGCAGGAAAGTACACACATATAAAAAATGATATAAACAACTGACTTCATCAGTCAAAAATAAGAATATTTAAACTAACATTTTTATCAGTTTGATGTGGCTCTTTTAAAATGTTTTCACGATTCCTTCCAGAATGAGCTTTTCATACTTAATATTTGTTCGTTACAGTTGTTGGAAAAAATGATCTTGATGGAGTCATACTGCTTGTGTCTAGTATGAATTAATAAATGCCCTGAGTACTTCTCTGTGGAAACAAAAGCTGTGGCGCTCCTGTTTCTGTGGGTATAGAAGTTAGTCAAAAGGGGCAGGAAATAGGGGTTGAAGATTTTTCATGTTCAGCATGCAAGTGAAACTCAGAGTGGCAAAAGAATTGACCCGAATAAGATTTAAAAATTGTGCAGGGAGAGACCGCTAATATAGGGAAGAAAGGGTTGGGAAAACAAATCTAAAACAAAGTGCTATGATGCAGCTGTAACTCTAAAGCTGAAGGACAGGGAGTCTAAACCAGGAACACGTTGGAGCACACTCTTCAAACAGTTGCATACTAACATTTCAACACCAAGTGTTTTCATCTGATGAGGAAGCAAACAGGCTCATCATTGAGTAGCTAGAGAAGATAGATGTACCACTCAGATCCGCCTGCCTTCAAGGTCTCACAAGTCCAGCGGTTGCACGAGCGAGCACACTGAATCTGAGCGAGCGGTGAGGATATTGCATGCATCTAAATAGCCGGGGCAGCAGTAGCTCAACAGGTTGAGCGGGTTGTCCAGTAATCGGAAGGTTGCAGGTTTGATCCCGGCTCTGGACAGAGAATTCTGCTGTTGTGTCCTTGGGCAAGACAATTAACCCACCTTGCCTGCTGGTGGTGGTCAGAGGGACCGGTGGCGTCTGTGCTCGGCAGCCTCGCATCTGTCAGCGCGCCCCAGGGCAGCTGTGGCTACATCGTAGCTCATCACCATCAGTGTGTGAATGGGTGTGTGAATGGATGAATGATACACTGTAGTGTAAAGCACTTTGGAGTCCTTACTCTGAGAGGCGCTACACAAGTGCGGGTCATTTATCATTTAAAAAGTGCTTGTCACTGCCATGTGCTCACTGGCTAACATGCTTGATTTGATTCCCATTGTGCAGATGCGTGTGCACTGTCAGACATTATTTGCTCCCAGCTTGGACCAGCATACCAGCACCAAACCACTATCTACAGCCTTGGTGGGTCTGCTCTGCTGTTATTACCCTGCCACTGAGAGGACACTAGCTGGTTAGGACGAAAAGAGCCGGTTCATTCGTCTGGCTTGACTTTCTCTCATCTCTTCAGGTGGCTGGCCAGGGCTTGGAGTCTTTCTGTGGCAGCTTCTAGTGCTTCAGATAAAGGTCTCTGGCTGTAGCTCTTACCTACTGTTTTTGTCATTGTGCCTTTCTGGAGCTCTGACAGTGCAGCTCACTTCTTTTGATTTTGGCCTCTGACCTTCTTTTCCATAGGTGGTATAGTTTCTCACGGTTTTTCTTGCACTTATAGCCAAGCATCTCAATAGTCACTGCTGCAGAAGTGCATATCAGCTCATTGGTTTCAGTGATGGTGGTTGTAGGAATTGTTCTCAGTGCTGCATTCACATTATTAGCTCTAATGAGCATAACCCTAGAGTAGAGTGGATGGGATTCTAAATCCTTCATGTGTTGGGGTCTGGAAGCTTCTTTGATTAATGCTGAGGGGTTTTGAATTATTTTATAGGCAAGACTGAAGTTGTTCGAGCTCGAATTTCACAGCAGTTCTGGTTCCCCAGAGACTGCAGGAAGAATGGTTGACGGAGACCTTGTTTTGCTGGGCAACATCTGAGACAGCATCTCACTCATTTCTGTTGCTCTCATCATGGTATTAGGAAGGCAAATAGAACCAAGGGTCTTGCCTAAGGGCCCACACTGGATGTTGTTATTGTTGCCCCAAGCCGGTCCCCTGCTTGTAAGTCCAGTGCTTTGTTGAGTTGCTGACAAGTCACCTCTACTCTAAATATCCCATTTCCCTTGGCTTCCAAAGTATAACCAATGCACCTTTATATCACGCCAAGAACCTGACAATAACAGGGAACATTTAGTTATGAATTCATTGATCAAAAGAAAATGTGATGTTTTTTGTTGCAAATGTCTGATTTAATTTTCCTTCACTACATTTAGCTACTACAGTAATTATTAAATAGCAAACACATGTCAATCCTGCTGTCAGACAAACCTTTTCCATGTTTCTCATAGAAAACGTGTTAAACTTTGTGCCCCCTCTAACCTCAGCAAACACCAGGGTCTAATGGCATACGTGTGTGACACACTTGAAGGCAGAAGTACAGGTGCGCTTCCTCCATGCACTCAAAATAGTAGCTGATGAAACAAAACACACTGACGCACATGTGCTGGCTGTCAGACAGTTGTGTTCACATACTCTCCCTTCATCAGCTCCAGTCTCCACCTTCCTGCACCGTCCTCTACCTCAGTCTGGTTTCTCCAAAGTTTATGAATGTGCACATTTGTTGTTTATGAGGCCATGCCTACTGCATTTATTACCTTATTTGTTCAGCTCAGTGGCTGAAGCTAGAACTGACATGTTTGAAATGAACTGACCAGGAGCCAGGTCCCACCTGTTCTTTGCAGGCTGCTAACACCCTCACTGTCTGCTGCACCCTGACTGCAGTTAGAGGGGATCAGTAGGCAATGTCTCAGAGGAGGCTATTAATAGATGTCAGTGTTTGTGAATGTGTGTTCACACAGACAACTGCTCAGCTCTTCTACACCAACCCCTCAGTTACAAACAAACACACACACACACACACACACACACACACACACACACACACACACACACACACACACACACACACACTCACACACACACACACACACACACACACACACACACACACACTCGCTGAACAACAAACTGGCCACCTCCCCCTGCTGTCAGGCTGAAACATTGAAGAGGCACCAAAGTCAGTTCAGCTGTAAACTTTTGACAGACATATAATAACATAAATCAATTAAATTCATGTTTTCCTCATTAATGTACACTTAGCAGTAATTAAAACATAAAAACTGAAATATCACATGGTCCTGAGTGTTCAGAACCTTTGCTCAGTATTTAGTAGAAGCAGCCTTTTGAGCTAATGTAGCTATGAGTCTTCTCGGTAAAGATGCAACAAGTTTCTTACACCTGGATTTGGGGATCTTCTGCTATTCCTCCTTGCTGATCCTCTCTAGTTCTGTCAGGTTGGATGGTGAACGTTGGTGGACAGTCATTTTTAGGTCTCTCCAGAGATGCTCAGTTGGGTTTAGGTCAGGACTCTGGCTGGGCCTTTCAAGAGCAGTCACAGAGTTGCTGTGAAGCCACTCCTTCATTATTTTAGCTGTGTGATTAGAGTCATCGTCATGTTGGAAAGTAAACCTTCAGCCCAGTCTGAGGTCCTGAGCACTCTGGAGAAGGTTCTTGTCCAGGATATTTCTGTACTTGGCCACATCCATCGTTCCCTCAATTGCAATTAGTCATCCTGTCCCTGCAGCTGAAAAACACCCCCACGATATGATGCTGCCACTGCCATGCTTCACTGTGGGGACTGTATTGGTCGAGTGGTGAAGCAGTGCCTGGTTTTCTCCACTCATACTGTTAAGAATTAAGACAAAAAGCTCTATCTTGGTCTCATCAGACCAGATAATCTTATTTCTCACAATGTCTGGGTCCTTCAGGTGTCTTTTAGTAAACTCCATGCGAGCTTTCATGTGTCTCACACTGAGGAGAGGCTTCCGACGGTCCACTCTGCCATAAAGCCCTGACTGGTGGAGGTCTGCAGTGATGGTTGACTTTCTACAACTTTCTCCCATCTCCTGACTGCATCCCTGGAGCTCAGCCACAGTGATCTGTGGATTCTTCTTTACCGCTCTCACCAAGGCTCTTCTCCCCCGAACGGCTTGCTCTAGGAAGGGTTCTGGTCATCCCAAAAGTCTTCCATTTAAGGATTATGGAGGCCACGGTGCTCTTAAGCTGGGCGGACACTGTGTGACTTTTTTACTCGTAGCACTCAGCTTCAGCTCAAACTGTACGACTTCCTCGCAGGGCAGATCTCACGAGTCGTGTGCTCACGCTGTACGACCCAGTTCTCGGATGCGACCCGACTGCTCACACTGTACGTCTGGTAGCAACACATCAGACCTAAAAATATGCTAAAAATAGCAGTTTTTACACAACACGTCAGACTTTTTTGTCTTGCCTGTTGTCCTTCGGGAGTGCTGCAGGAGGACACACAGGGATTTATGGGGGTTGGATGAGGAAAATGAAATAAAGAAAGTCAATCTGTGTTTTGTGATCAGTTTAATTTGACATGAACACGACAAACACCCTTTCTTGACAATCTTTGTGAGTAAAAAAACGTGTAGAAACAAAAACAAACAACGTGTGTTATTAGGGTAATACTGGGCGAGCGGTGTTCATGATTGCGCACGCGCTGTGAGCGGTTCTGATACGCTGCGCCGCTTCAACAGTGCGATACCCTCACGAGGGACGAGCAAAATATCAAACACGTCAGAAGTCCGTGCAAGCTCACGACTGCTGATCGTCGGTAGCTGGTCACGTGGTGTGTATTGCCTCTCGTAACCCCCTGTACACTACACGACGCTCAGCGCAAAACTCGCCCCGATCTTGTGGATTCTCCCACGAGTGGAAAATCGGCTCAAAAAAGTGAAAAAGTT